ATTTTATTTATAATAGAAAGTTATCTTATTTTTTAATTAGTAAATAAGTTTATTCAACAATGCATATTTGAATACCCTACTTTCAATAGTTGTTTTCTCTTTTTATAAAATTTATTTTGGCAATTCAAAAATAAATAAATTATTTTTGTTGTATGATAAAATTATTTTCCAATCGATACTATAAAAGAAGTGTTCAATTGATCCAATTTTTTTTTTTACATTCATAAAAACTAATATGTAAATGAAACCATTTTTCCAAGTACTATTAAAATTCAGTTATCTAATATCCATTATGCTTTAATTACATATAAATTCTCAAAAGAATAATGTGTAAATTTCCTAATGTAATTCATATAAATAATAATCTTATGCAAAATTGTTTTAAAATTATTATAAATTTTGAACTTGATTTAAATAATTTTAGATTATTTATCACTATACTTGATACGATATTTATCACTATATTTTTTTTTGTGTAATATATGGTTTAAAAAGTACTGATGAATTTTGTCATTTAATATGAAATTTAAATTATTCTTTAATATTTGTGAATTCGTGTAAATATAAATTGATGCTTCATATCATTTTTTTCTAGTTTTAAACAATTTTTCAAAACATTAATTTCTATCATTAACACAATAATTAACAATATGTTAATTAATAATATATAAATTAAAAAAAATTTTCATTTTAGTTATATGATAGAATAAATCTTAGATGTAAATAAATTGTAGATGTGATAGATCGACTAACAGATCTCTTTAACAATATATTTAAATACATAATCAAATGATTAACTCAGTTTGATAAAACTTGCGAATAATATATAAAGAAGATTTTCATCGTTTTTTCTTTTAATAATTCATAATTCATTTTGTTTGCATGTTCGCCTGCCTACATCCATTGAATAAGAGATATTTGGCTTTATCGATAATAAAATGTTTCCAAAAGAGATTGAACTTTATGGAACCATTGTAGCTAAGTGAAAAGGTTGAACGGAGCTTTTTAACTGTAGAATCATGTGCGATCGTGTACATGTCCAGAATATGTTCTCATAGAGTTTCCTTTTACGAGCTTAGAGGCATGAAATCCTTGTTGCAAATCTTCTTCGAGAAGTAAGATTTTTGCTTAGCCCATAAATCTTTGCTTGAACTGTATTTTACATATTAATTTTTTACTGCATTAATTTTTAAGGCCTTTCTTGTATTGTTAGGGTTTTTTGCTATTGCGCTCAATGATAAAATCATTATTTATCCTAAAGATTTATATTAATTAATGGCTAGTAGGTTACTAGTACTAATTTTGTTCCGAGAGTTTTAATTTACGGAATCTGTATCTTGCGTCTAATAGTGTATTATACAATAACTATAGTTCTTCTTTGAGATAAAATTTATTTGTTATAATTGTTTTATTTATGGTGTAATAAAGATACTAATTAAAAAAGTTTAATTACTGCAATAATTATTAATGATCTTTATAAAGGTAGTTAAAAAATTAAGGATTTATGATTATCCTTTTAAAAAATTTTTAAAGTATTTTTGTTTTGTTTTTGTCGTTAATTTGATTTTATAATTATTGCTTTTATTACTACTGTTATTCTTAATGGCTACCGGAATCTTTTGCTTAACATCTGATTAGAAAACAATTACTTTCTTAAGCTTGTAATAATCATATAATTAACTTATGCCCAGTATACCTACAAATCTTAATTAATCTTTTTACATTAAGATTCTATGATCTTAATCTATAATAAAGACTTTATTTTCTCGCTTATTATTGTAGTAATCACATATATTTTCTTTTATTTTTTATCTCAATTAAATATTCAATTCTAAATAATTATGGAAATCTGTTTATTAATTAGATTATAATATTTACATATAACATTAATAATTATTTATTATTAATAATTGAAATAAAATTATTCTGTACATTTTAATTTATTTTATTTTAAATAGACTTTTTTTATTGGTAATATTATTAATTTAGTTATTATATTATATATTATATTAAGAATAATTTATTAATAAACTCGAATAATTAGTTTCCACATTTTTCTATTTACTTCGAAAAATTATGTTATTTTTAATTAAGCGATTTTAACTATACACTTCGATAAATTAATTCTATTCAAATTATTATTCAAGTAGGATAATTTATAGATTTTTCTTAATATATTACTAAAAAGATTTTTTTCGATCTTAAAATCCAGTAATAATTTTCTATTCTTAATTACGACTATTTATTATCACTAAATCTAATAATTGATTATTAGATTGTTAATTTAAATCATCATTACTTTCATTTACATAAGTATATAATAATATTGTAGGAATTGAAATTATTGCTAACGACATTTTTTTATTTATTAAATTAATGTCATTATTATTAATATAAATTTTAATTTTTTTAAACATCTGATAAAATTATCGAATTGGCGAAATCAGATTGACGAAATCTGATTGACGAAATTTCCAATTTTCTTCTAATAGCCACTTGATTATCTAAGTTTGATTGCTTTTTGGCGTATAGTAATGAAATTCACATAGATAATCGTTCAAAATAAACTTCGATGCATGAGTAAATACTTTCTAAGTAAAATAAAAATAGAATTTTTGAATGAGTGAAAAACTGTTAAATATTTAAAAAATGTATTTGCAATCTCCATTTTCAATTTCCATAAGTTTATTCCAACTATTTATCTCACATTTTACTTATAACTTATTATATTCTTTATACTAATACTATTTGTAGTCCTAGTATGTGCCAAAAGAATAATATACCAATATAATACTATTCAAACAAATCACTTTTATGTGAAGTTAAATAGAATAAATTCCATTAAATTCATATTGAATCAAATTCGTATAAATCTTAATTCTTTTAATGAATTTATATATTTTCTAATTTATCTACGTACATTCTTTTTTAGGTCTTACTCTAAGATTTTCGATATGTAATTGGATTTATAATCCGTCTTAGTGAGTATATATACCCATATATAATTCAATCATAACTGGTATTTTATATATGTATATTAATAGTGATTATTAACATTTTTAAAAATTGTACGTATTTTTCATTTATCATTTATTAATATTTTAACAATTACTTTAAATTGTCGTATACGAGTAGCATTCTTTCAATACACAAGTGCTAGTTATTAAACATGCACAGCAGATAATAAAAAATTATTATGGGTGTTTATATGGCAACGACATTTCATACTTGAATTAATAAATGAATCAGTAAAACAAAAATTATTTACCTAATTATGAATAGTATCATACAAATTTTCAAATCTTACAAAAAAAAAAAAAAAAAAAAAAAAAAAAAAAACTATCAAAATACAAAAATATTCATTAATAGATAACATAAATTTTTGCTTCTAAAACGAAGATAGTTTTCAATTTTGTATGAAATGAATTATTAATACATAAATCTTTTAATTTCTAATAAAAATTTTTCCCTTTCATGACATTTAATAATATATATTTAAAATTAAATTATACGATAATTAATAAATAATTAATAATAAATACAATTAATTTGTGCCTTAATTACAAATTATCTCTTAAAATAATGAAAAATAAAAACAATTTATAAAGTATGTATTAGTAATGTATAAGTGATGTATTATTTTGTTATATGGATGCTTTAACTATATACTTACTTATTACTTACAAAATACAGTTAATATCTACATACGAAACAAATAAATTACATTAACTACATATAAACGTATATTGTTTTGAGAATTTTTCAGTAAAATGTTTGTCTATGTATTTAAATCTAATTAAATATTGTTTTTCTACGAATACAAATATTATGTGAAATATAATTTAAACTGTATTAATTTAACCTCTTGCAGAATAGACATAAAACTAATACTATTTACAGTGTCAAACGTAAATTCAATACGAATCTCAATTTTCATAAGCTTAAAGTATACTGTCATCTCATAAAAATGTGATATTTATTAGTCATAAAGGAAAACATGAGGCATATCAGTTATTATATATTTTCAACAGTTACCTTATCCCTGTAAAGTTTTTAATATAAAATTTGACTTCGTTCAATAATCTATTCAGAATTTTTTACAAACTTATGATTTTTATGATTTTTAGCTTACTGTTTTTATGTTTAAAAATGAATTATCCAGTTAAATATAATATATAAAAGTATGATTTATATTAATTATGATGCATATTATATGTTCAAGTATTTCGCAGTATTTTTATTACAAAATTTTATGATAAATTACTTTATATTTTTTAGTTTATATTAGATAAACTTTGAATAGCTATGAAAGATTTAAAACTTCGTTTAAATTTTACAAATAATTTATTTTTATTACAGCTACTTTTTTAAAAATTGTCTTATTCTGTTTTATGTAAATAAAGTTTTGTTTAAACAATTCTTTTTAAAAAAAAAATTTATTTTATCTTTGTGTCCTCAAATATTTATATTAGTGTAAATATTACAACAAATATCAATATTTGTTGTAAATTATTACTTTAAAATACTTCATACTGATTTTTATGTTCGCCAACTGAAAGTACATGAATCAGGAATATTAATTTGGAGTTTTAATTAAAAAAATGGTGCATTAACCTGAATATCTGAAATTGTAAAAGATTTACTACTGGTTTTGATGCTATTCTTTATAAAAAAAAAAAGAGAAATAGTTTATTGACTTTACAGTAAAATTTTATAGTCAAAAAAATTGTAACTAATTAATCAAATAAAGTACATTGAATAAATATGAACAAATATTTATTAGTACGTATGAAAGCAAGATTTCATTAGAAATCTTTTCAAATAGTACTGTAAATAGTTAATTTGTACGTATTTAAAAATTACTTATATAAAATCAAGAATATCAATGTATTTGGTTATTGAAAATCCTAGAGGCCAATTTTGTGAATTTAAGACTACATTTTAAAGACATTTAAAATCTTCGATATTCACTTGGAATAACATATGATAAATAATCTTACCTGTAAAATTTTGCACCGATTTGTGACACATTGGTCATCGACGCACGGCTGGTACATCCCCAGGGTAATACAATTCAACAAGATCACCATCATGCTTATTCTTTCGAACCACGTATTTATCAGATACTGAGTTAAGGAAAATACTGTAAAGGCATTGTCAATATTGAAATACATGTTGTTAAAATTTCGTAGGAGCGTGATATTAGTCGAATTTTCAGGATATTTTGAGGATGCGGAAGGTCTTAATTTAGTAGCAAAATGAAAGAATAAGGGGAGCAATTATATTTTGTTTAACTGATATTCTTTACATCGATGTAGTTACAATCATTATCTAAGCTTATTCAATTTGTTTATGATATACTAAAATAAAAACCAAAAAACAATTTTATTGGCCTATACATTTACGCAAAACCTTTATTAAATTTTTTACAGAAGGATAAACTTTCATTCGTTATTGGCAGACTTTCAATTCACTCCCATAAAGAGCATAATTTCTATTGTACTTATAGATAAAAATTTTATACAAAATATATAATTGAAATATTTTTTCAAATAAATCTATATATTGAAAGAAGAATTACATTTATTATGTTTAGTAAATTAAAAATAACAAAAACGATATAAAATTGAATTATTACAAAGCAGTAAAATAAAAAACAACAAAATGTAGACTGATTTGTAGTTTTTTATACATCTTTAATTAATTTCACGTTAAATGAAAAAAAAAAAATTAGTGAGTAAGCAAAGGATATTTCATTGAGAAATATAAATTGCTAACATAAATTTGTTTTTAAGTCTGTTCAATCGAATGTAACCAAAATTTATTTATTAATAACAATGTCTGGCCTAAAAGAATCGATGCAGCTAATCGATTATATTAAATAAATTTATCGAAAGAAAACATTAAATTTGTATTATTACTCAGAAACATTAAAGAATAAACGTATACAATAGAATGTGATATAAGATATTTCAACTGAAATATATTTACTTTCGAAACTAGAATGAAAGGAAAATTCATTGGTTCTATTAAATTTCTCAGTCAATATGTACACGCAAAATTTATATATCAATCATGATAATTTATAGAATCCTCAAGATAAAATAATTAAAAAATTTTTAAATCATATAAACTACCTCAATCTACTACCCATGCTTACATATTGTTTATAACATACTATTATATCAATAATTAATTTGTTTAATGAATAATTTGTTTTAATAAATTTTAAATGATGATCAATGGCAAATAAAAGACGATAAATTGATATCTGATAAACCTAATGTTATTGTTTACTTTATATTGTTGTAAGTTCAATAAATAATATTCTTAACTATTTATATTAAATATATAATTAGTCATGACTGAAAATTAATAAAATATATTAAATTCAAATTGGAAACTTTCACAAATATGTTGATTATAATTAATGAAATTACTTTGAAACTATAATTAAACTAGGTTTTATAATTACTTATGAATTGTAATTATTTTATACTTGTATATTTAAAAAATTTCTAGTCTTCGGGTTATTAAAATATAGTATACAGAAATTATAAATGTAAATATTGCTTTTATAATTCATGTAGTTATTATTTTTTACATCATGATCGCACATATAGAGATCTATGTGAATGAAAGTTTCAATTTTACTTTAAAATTAAAATGCTAACTTAATGAATTCAATTTATATATTTTACCAGGAAGGAATTTGATGATTGAAATTATATGAATATTGTACCTTTTCGAATATAATATTATACAAAATTATTACATTGATTAATAAATATGTGATAGAAATATAAAAACAAGAGCCCAATATAACAACAAAAATCCATACAAGTATCCCATTAAAATTATACGTTCATTGTATTTTGAATTTTGATTTTCCTTTTTGTATTCATCTATATTTATTAAAGCATTCAAAATATAAAAATTTTTTACAATATTTTCAAGTTTTATTAGTGATTAAAATAGTAGAATTTTATTAAATCTTTTAAATTAAAGCAACTACAATCGAAAAAAACAGAAGCAAAAATAAGACAGTAGAGACAGACATATTCGTTTAAGATAATATAATTAGATGTTTTAAATAATTTTATTCTAGATGTAAAAAAAACATATACTATGAATAATAAGTTAGCAATAATTAAAATTATAATTTCTTATAATTTTATAATTGTATGTAAAATTGCTACAATATAGTGTAGATAGATTTTCTATAAGAAGTGCAAATAACTTTAAGTATGTAGGATTGTTATCATATAAATATATTAAACTGAATTGTAGATTATTATTATTATTAATTCTTGTAACAATTTAAGCTAACATTATATGATAATAAATGTACAAATATAAATTTATTTTTAACAAATTGTAAAATGTGTTATATCACCTTATTAAAAATACATAATAATAATTTAACTCAGAATTTAAATGTACTGTTTGCATTGAAATTAGTGAAAAATTTAAAAAGAATTTTTATCAAAATCTGATCAAATTTTTAAACAAAATCTGATCATTTAATAAATTAAGTTTAATAGTATCTGTACACCGTTTGTATTTCCCATTTTCATAAACCAATTTTACTAATCATAAGTCATAATTATTGTATAAATATTTGTATAAAATAGACACATTCTATAAATTCCTTAAAACTCACTGAAAAAAAATTTTTTTAATGAACAGATTTGTATATGATAATTAACGTCAAAAAAGTTTACATTATATTATTAATAAAAATGTTTGAAAAGTAATTAAGTTTATTTATAATTAAATTATTCAAAGTGAGCTTTTGAAATATGAAAATATTGAGAATATTATGCAAATTCATTTAAAAAATAAAATACGAACAATCTTATAATTTGATTAATTGAGAAAACACTGTACTGGCTATTAAAATATGAAAAAAAAATTAATATTACTAAATTTTACAAGTATTTATTAACCTTTTCAAATGTAAGGGGTACTAATGAAAGTAGTACTACCAAGGATTTTCTATTAAAAAAATATTGGTGCAAATTGGAAACCAGAAGCAAAAATTAGAATTCAAATTAGAACTTTATGAATTAAATTAATTAAAAAAAAAATAGAAAAAACAGAAATTAATAAAATAATAAAAAAATATTTATTGATAAATAAAAATATAATTATAAAATTCTTGTCCAAAATTTATTAATAAAATTATTAAAATAATTATAAATAAATATTAAAATATAATAATAATTAGAATAAATCATTGTAAAAGAGAAATTTAAAAAATTATTTATTCATGTTATAGTTTTTTGTTTGGTAGCAAAATTTGAAAACTTATTTAAATAATGCATGTATCCATTGTCACTTGACGTTCGCAAAATTTAATGATTATAAAATAAATTTTATAATTCTAGAACAAATCGTTTATAAAATGTTGATATATTGCAGATAAGATGAAAATAATACAATAATAGATCTACATATTATAGAATTGAATTGAAAAAGTATTCATTTTTTAAAATCTTATGAAAGTAATAAAATTTTGCTGAGAAGCTTAATTGACTTGCATATATTGAAAAATGTAAGAAAATCAACAATATATAGAATATAAAAAAGAAAGTAAAAATAATAAAGATTTTAGATACATCGAGATAAGGTAAAAATAATATTGAATTCAAATTTTGAAATCTAGGACGTACACAAGATCTTTGATAATGATAATGTCAAATAAATAAAAGTAATTTTTTCAGTGTTATAAAATATTCACTTATAGTATTAATTGAATATAGTAATAAAGTAGATATTAAATTAAAAATCAAGGGAAACATAAACAGCTGTAATAATAATAATAATAATTATTATTATTATTATTATTATTATTATATAAAAATAATAATAACAATAATAATACTTATTTATAGTAATAATAATACTTATTTGTACTCGATATTATAAATCCTACTGCGTATGATAGTTTAAAATGCTTAAAAACAAATGTTCAATTTACACATCAATTTAAAACAAATTAATAGTATGATACAAAATAAATATTCTTACATAATAAATTTTAGAATATGCATGAAATATTTTAGATTTAAAATAGTATTTTACAAAATATTTATTTTTTGCGCTTCTTGTTTTAGATTAATAGATAGCTGGAAAATATTTAATTTCTAAAATAATGATAGAAATCGAAAATAAATGAAACACAAATAATATCACAAAGTAACTGGCTAAAGAAATTAGAAGATTGGATAAAACTTTTATGTAACTGATACAATAAATAAAATGAATTCTTTAATTATCATATACTTTTATATATTTCTAATAAAAGCTGACAAAAATTATAATTTATATTCGGGCTATAAACTAAAAATAAAAATATATTCTATAGAATTGAAAAAAACCAAGTAAATAACGAAAGATTATATAATTATTAATTAAAAAAATTTAATAAGGTATGTATTTAATGTAATTATTATAAAACAAGAAATGTCTACCGACAATATTAAAAAACAAATTCTGAAACCCAAATTCATAAGAAAAATAAAAATATAAAAAGATTATGTAAACATTCATAAATCTGTTAATTAATCAATGAAATAACTCAAAAACACAAAAGAATAGTGTACAAATATAAGAGGGTGTAATAATTTACTATAATATAACAAATAAAATATAAACATATATTTTTGATATTTAAAATCACATGTAAACACGAAAGAAAGAATGAGAGTGAGAGAGAGAGAGAGAGAGAGAGAGAGATAAACTATTAAGCACGATAAAAAATTTACACTTTATATAGAGATTATCATAACAAAATTTATATATATATATATATAATGTATATATTATAATAAGTACGTTAGATGGGAAAAAGGAAAGAAAAATATTTATCAAAAAATTTCATAAAAGATTTGTTGTTATCTATATAATATATCAATGGATATTATCTAAAAAAAAATAATCAATAAATTAAAAAAAATAGTTCAAGCCTATAAAATAAATTACATAATTTTGATGAAAAAAAAAATAGGAAGTTCATATATTAGAAATAAAATAACTTTGAACACAAGGTTAAATTAAAAATAAATTAATCGGATTTAATCATTTTGATATAAAATTAAAAAGTTAAC